CATGTAGCTGTAGGTGCAAACTATACCACTGCATGGTTTGTCTTGTGCCATGTCCATCACCGAGCCCATCCTATTAGTGCATGCAACAGCAGCGAGGGACCTCCCTGGAAGACCTGAAAACCAAATTAGCAAGGCCCTCTCATTTACTGGTGATCTTAGGAGCCCATGCTCATTTTTTCATCCTTCCAGGTGTGACTGTACCATACTGGCATGGGGAAAGCAGGTTCTTGGGTGTGGAGATGGCCTGGTGGGTGCAGCGACCGAAAGTGAGGTGAACACGTGTTGCAAGTTGGATTTCTGCTCTGTGCCCAGGTTTTACCAGTGAATGACAGGAAAGGTTCAGATGATCAAAATTCACAATTTTAGCTATTTCTCATTAAAATTGTGAAATTTCCTTTGAGAAACTTGCCTTGTTCCTGCGATGTCTGAGATATCAGGCAGAAGGGGTTCGATACCTACCAAACTTCTTTAATTTTGATGAAGAAAGGCTGAATTCTTTGGAAAAGACCATCCCAACGTGGTGTCCCCATGTTCTAGCCAAGAAAGGCACAGTTCTTCTGCCAGCCAGGAATTCATTCAGCCGTTCGCGCAGCCTGGGATGTCACCTCTTCAGTGTGAGATTTGACTTTTCTGCATCTCTTCCTCCAAGGCTCATCTTCATTCAGGAATATTTACATAGAGCTGGTCCTAATTAGCAAGAAGGGTGACTCTGAAGTCCTCAGACTTCAGGACTGATCTCAGCTGGGTTACAGCTCAATGGGGTGTTTCACTCCAGGGAGATCACAAATAAACATACAGGAATTCAGCCTGGGTTTTCTCACGTCACAAGATGTGGAGATCAAATCTTCTGACCTGTAAGTCAGAAGGAAGATCTCCTTTCATGATGCATGAGGAGGAACCAAGCTCTGGATGTGCTGGACCTTTACAGGGCTCTAGAAATGCAAAAAGCCATCAAAAGCCCCACTTTCCTTCCCTGTCAGGGTGGGCACCAGGGTAGCTGGAGTTGTTGGTGGTATTTGGGGCAGGACTGGGAGAAATGAACAGCTTTCAGCAAAGCTGGAAAATGAACCTTTCTGCCAGTTCATAAAAGGGAAATATTTTAGAGTTTGTGCATTACCTGGGAGAAGAGTTTTGTTCAAACAAACTTTGGTTTTGTTTTATTTTACCCCAGTAAAGAGAAGGTTCCCACTATGGAAAGCCACATCAACCTCCTTCAGGCATAGCGATGCTCAGGGACCACAGCAGATCCCATCCCTCAGCAAAGGGCAAAGCCCTGCTCAGTCCTGTGTGGGCTCATGTCACCATCTGCCACCTTGATACATGGGTGATGGGCGATACCCAAAGCCGACAGACAAGAGAAATAAACATGACAGAAATCCTGCAAGTCCCGTTATGGCTTATTCTGGAGCGAGCAGCTGTGTCTGTTGGTCTCAAAAGCATCAGTGGGTGTCTCTGCCAAAAGAGTGCTGTGAACCCAGTGATTTATCTCTTTTTTTTCCCCTCGATGCTCATTAAAATGAGAATTTGCCGGCGCTGATGCTGTATCCAGCTGAATGCGTGTGCTTCTTGGCTCCCTGCAAGGTCCTCGCTGCAGATACCGTGTGCTTTGGCAGCCAGGCCAGTCTGGGCTGCAGGATATTACGCCTGGCAGGGACACAAGCCCCTTCCAGTTCCTGGAATTTGGATTGTCTCATGGAGTGCTGATTAAGCAGTGCTTTCAATCTGCACCCAAGACAAAACCCTCGCCTTGTCTCCACGCAGAGGCTCGGCACGGCTCGGGTGCTGCGTGGCAGTGGGTTTGCTCTCCCTGGGCCCTAGGGAAATAAAAACTCAAAAAAAAATTCTTAAATGCAAAGCTTTGCAGTTCACGGTGCTGGACTAGCATTTGCTGCTCAGGGCTCTCTGTCTTTTGTGGAATAATAAATCACTAAAAAAACCCTGTCCATAACACAGCCCTAGTGCCCTCCCTACCTTGGTGTGCACGTGGTAGCAGCTATTCCTCCCAGTCTGCCCAGATCACGTCCCCAGTCTGCCCAGTTGAGATCGCTGCTGTATGTCCCCATCTGCCTTTCTAATCTGCTGGGAATGAAACCGCCTTTATCAGCCTTACTAATGACAGATTTGACAGCTGAGATTGAGTGGAGGGAGGCAGCCCCGGCGTGTGCCATCCCGACGTGGTATGAAGGACCTTCCTGCCGCCGGCCCCTGGAGCCAGCACTTGCCTTCGCATAAGGGTGAACATAAAATAGGGGAGTTGGCAAACTGGGGATGGTGCTTTGCCTGGCATCTGTGGAGAGGTGAATGGTGTTTTGGGGTGGTCTGGTGCTGGGAAGGTGAAGCTGAGCTGGTTAGACCCCCTACAACAGGCAGCCTGGAAAGCTGATGGGCTCTGGGAGCCACGCTGACACCCTGGCATGCCCAGCACTGGCATCCGTGGCATGGCACAGCCCCCAGCAGCGTGCTGAGCCGTGCTAGTGCACGGGGTGCTGCTGCTCTCTGCACTGAGAGGTCCTCCTTGCAGTGGGACCAGAGATGCTTCGGCAGCGGTTTCCCTGTCTCCCCACTGGCACAATCTTCATCCCACCCGCGGGGTGGGAGTGGATGGAAGTATCCCCCCGGCACATGTCTCCAGCCGCTCCCCGGAGCCTGCAGCATCTTGAGTTGCTTTACGGGAGAGTGGATGCCAGGAAAAACATACACGGGAGACTATTTTGGCAGAGGCTCACAGCAGAGTGAGGCCGTACTGATGGAGCATGTCAGCTCAGCACCCGGGCGTTATTCCTGCTCCACGCTCGGGTCTGCTCCTCCCTGAGCTCCTGATCGGCTTCTGTTGCCCTGCAGGGCTCTGGGGTGGGCCGGTTGGGCTCTGGGATGTGCCATCAGTCCTGGCACAGGGCAGGAGTTGTGTGTCTGGGATCCACAATTCTCATCCCACTCAAACCAGTGAGGACAAAAAGCTGCAATGGGCTGCTGCTGTGGGACTGCCTTCTCCTCGCCGCACCGTCCCAGCAGTCTCCTTGTGTCCCTGCCTGAGCACCAGCTTTTCTCCGGGCACCGTCTGGTCTCAGCTCCATGCCTCTGTCTCTGTGCCTCCCACCAGCTCAGGAGGGGGAGTTTGACCTTAGTGCTCTCATTCATGCAATTGAAGGGCCAAATCCTGGCTCCAAACCCACCTGTGCTCTGGTGAACCCAGGCCTGGCGAGGCACGGGACGAGCACCTTGCTTACCTGGGGCACCATGGCATGGGGGGATGATAGCAGTGAGCCCCACTGCAGCTCCCACGTGGCCACTCACACTGGCTCTGAGCACAGTGGGAGGACGAGATGTAATGGGCATTGCAAGCAGCCCCTCCAGCCTGCCAGGTTCACATTTTTGTCACCTGCAATAATTCAGCTGGCCCCAGGCATTGTGACTGCTTGGGATGTTGTAAGGAAACACACATGATGCTGTAGAATTGTCTATGGCTTCAGACTTCTGCAGCCATTTCCCTTCCCTGGGGACAGACACCCGGACAGCAGTTGGGCACCAGAGGAAGGGCCGTTTTCCCCCGAGATGCCCCTGGCCAGGCATCGCCAGCCCAGGTCAGTGTGGGGATGCAGGCAGAGCCCCCTCCTGTGGGCTGCAGCAAGCCCTAGTCCTTGGGGAACCCATGGACGGCAGCGGCCAGCCCGGCAAGCGGCTTCATTTCTAACAGGGAGAGCTGCTGGCAAAGGACACATGTGGTCACCAGGTCCCTTCCCAGCCACCCCCAGAAGGGGACATCTCTGCTATCTGCTCAGCTCACACCGAAGTGGGGTGACCCTGGGGCTCCCGTCTGCTGCCTTGCCAGTGCAAAACCCCCTCTGCATCCCTCGCCGAACTGGATTCGCTTCCCTATCCACAGCTCCCAGCAAGACCCCAGCTTCGGGGGATGAACAAGGGAGAGACAACTCTGGGAATCTCTCCCCATAGGTAGCTTATAAAAAACCCCAACCAGCAGCCGATGAGCAGCTCCTCTGCCCACCGGAGGAACGAGCCGAGCTCTGCTCGCTTCCCCCCGCCGGCACCGTGCACGGCTCAGCGTGCCTGCGTGCGCGCCTCTGCATCCACCAGCCTATAAATCTCCTAGCAGGGCTCCTTCCAAACTTCAGGACATTCCTTGGGGGAAGAGTTAAGATGCAGCTTTTGCGTCAGATGCCACAGCGGGCTGCCCGGCGGGGCTAGGCTAAACCTCTCGCCCACATCTGCCCCAGCAGGTTGTTTGCAAAGGTCAATCCCACCGGCTGCCGCCACCGCTGCCGGGCTCAGCTGCTCTTGGCTCAGTCCTCAAGGTATGTAGTCGGGGGAACATCCTCCCCGCTGCTCCAGGGAAGGGCTGGCAGGGATGCTAGGAGGTGCGTCGGGTGACAGACGAGGTGATATTCCAGCGTTTTCCTTTTTTTTTAAAAAAAATTATTCTGCTTTTGCTGTGATTTATTTTTCCTTCTCTGAGATAAAGAGTCGTTAGGATTTCTCGTCGATGCTTTTAAATCTTGCTGTGCGTTTCTTTATCTGTATGAGATTTCCGTTTGTGCTGGAGCTTTACTCAACACACCAAACGCCCGGGAAGTTACAGGGCAGGAGGCTGCAGCGAATATCTCAGCATGCTCCTAATTAGCCCCTGCCTGGCAGGTACGTGACACAAGTGAAAGAATGGGGGAGATTTTGTACCAATATTATTTTTTTTTTTAAAGAAACAGCAAGAAAACTAATTCCCCAGACACCTCCCTGCCGGTCCTGGGGAATTTGCTGTGATCAAAGGTTATCAAAGAGACTAATTTGAAAAATTTATTTTTAAAAGGAAAAAAAGGAAAATTTATTTGCATCTTATTTTGAGAAGTGGTGTTTGCATGGTGTTTGAAAACCTAAGCGGTGCCTCTGTTGTTTTCTCTCCTAGATCCACGACCGGTAATCCACATTGTCCTGGCTTAACCCCGTGCGGCAGCAGAAAGCCACTGGCCAATCCCGCCGGCCGGGCTAGCATGGCCGTGCTCCACTTGCACCTGTACCTCACCGTCTTGGGCTTCTGGATGACACAGCAGTCCAGCTCCTTCCTTCTGCCCAATGCCACCGAGCTCCTGTCCCCCCCTGGGGGCAGAGCCAAGGGTCTGCTGTGGGGTGTGGGGGTCCCCCGGAGCCGTCGGAAGCGATACCTCTCCCCTCGCGACATGAGCCTGATTTTGGACTACCACAACCAAGTGCGGGCACAGGTGTCCCCCCCCGCTGCCAACATGGAGTATATGGTGAGTCGGGCTCCAGCAGGGCATTTTTGGGTCCTCAGCTCTTGGCTGCTGTGGTACGGGCTCACCTGGGATGTGGGCCCCCACCTTGGTAGCGAAAGGGCATCCACACACGGGGATGTCAGGGTGCTACCCCGGATTTGCGGCTGAACATCCATCCCGCCCAGGGGATGTTTCAGGTCCCTGGTGCAGGGCAGACCCATGCAGCCTCTGTGCAGGAGGGATGGAGTCCCAATGGGGCCATGTGTCCACCCAGGGGCAGATTTAGGACCCCTGGTCCTATGTCTGGGACATCTCGGAGCTTGCCAGCTGCAGGATGACAGGATCCATCCAGCCGGGCTGCAGAGGTAGCGTGACGGGCAGGGAGGTGGCTACGAGCATGAAAAGCTCAGGTCCCAACCCAAAGCGCGGGTGGGAGCCTCTCCCTGAACTGCAGCCAGGAGAGACAGCCCTGTCCCAAGCTCCAGGGTCCCTTGGGAGCGTGCCCAGGGATGCCAGCCCCTGGGAAAAGAAACATGCAGGAGTGGGTCAGAGGGGCTGCGCAGCCTTGCTGGGTCCTCTGGACAAGGGCCACCCTGGGCAGAGCTTTCCCTGGGTTGTCTCCACCCTGCTTGGAGCTCCTAACCCAGCCTTAAAGGGAGGAGAAATGGGGAGCTGCCAAGAGGAGGGATTTCGTCTCGGCACAGAGTGGGACCCTCTGTGCAGGTGGTGCCATGTGCTGCTCTGCTCCCAGGGGAGAAGCACGCAGCAGCCCAGCTTGCTGGGTACCAGCGCAGGTCAGACGTGCCCAGGAGCATCCTGCACTGCTTCTTACTTGGCCTAAATTCCTGCCTTCCAAAATAACTCTCCCTGGCATC